TGGAATTTTTAGTCTATTGGGGGCGGAAGGGAGGAGGAAAAGATGAACCGTAATCAAACAATCACATAAATGAAGGTATAATTAATGCCAGGGTAAGAAAAACAGGGAAGGGTCACACTTGGTTCTCAGCAACTGAGGGACAGCCACAATGTCCACCAATTCCAATGTTCTGTAACCTAGTATGTTGCTCTGCAGGGAGGTGCAAAGAAGCCTTTGGAATAACTCATATCTAAAATCATAGGGTTTTTTTTCAGAAAGGCACAGCTCAATTAATCCAAGCAACCAACAACCATCTATTGGGGATCTTCTAGCAGGAATCAATCACCCACCTCTGGCCTCCCTGGAGCTTTACAGTAGTGGGCAGAATGGACTCATAAATGGATACAGCTATAAAATGCCTCACATCATTCTCTGATGGCTAATTACATGTTTCAAATAATAATGTATATAAGAATTAGGTGGAAATTGGATGTGGTAGGGCAATCAGAGAAATTTTCTTACAAGTAGAAATTGAGATAGGCCCTGAAGGTTTGCTGCATGGTTTCAGATAAACAGAAACAATAATATCAGGGCGCAGTGGGCCCATTCCCTCCTACTAGACAGTACAGGTGCATGGGACATATGAGAGATATCTGGCCAGGCGTGGTGGCTCAACTTTGGGAGGTTGAGGCAGGTGGATCATGAGGTCAGGAGATCAAGACCATCTTGGCTAACACGGTGAAACCCTGTCTCTAGTAAAAATACAAAAATTTAGCCGGGCGTAGTGGCAGGCGCCTGTAGTCCCAGCTACTTGGGAGGCTGAAGCAGGAGAATGGCGTGAACCCGGGAGGCAGAACTTGCAGTGAGCCGAGATAGCACCACTACACTCCAGCCTGGGCGACAGAGCGAGACTCCATCTCAAAAAAAAAAAAAAAATCTCAAGAAAGAGATTCCTACATTTCATTTTGGGGCAGGAGAGATTCAAACCCTACTTGTTTTGTCAAAGAGCAAAAGACCTCTTCTGTGACCTACTCTAAATCCTGTCCCTTGGATTAGGAAGCCTGCTACTGATGGGATTCCTGACTTGGGGTAGCCATCTCACCTCAATGAATCTGTTATCTCAGTTGTAAAATGAAGGGGTTAGATGATACCCAAAGTCCCTTATAACACCCACAAAGATGGCTAAAACGTCATTCTTTGTAAGAATTTTTATTACTTTATAATAAAACTGGTGGTTGCTACTATGGAGTATGAGCTGTGAGATCTTAGGCAAGTTACTAAGTTTTCTAAACTTGTTATACTTTCTTTTTAAAATGCATTTTAATTTTTAAATATTTTATTTTCTTTTATATTTTTGAAACAGGGTCTTGCTCTATTGCCCAGGCTGGAGTGCAGTGGCACAATCACTGCAGCCTCAAACTCCTGGGCTCAAGCAATCCCCTCACCAGACTCCTGAGTAGCTGAGACTACAGGCATGTGCCACCAAGTCTGGATAATGTAAAAATATTTTTTGGGCCGGGCGCGGTGGCTCAAGCCTATAATCCCAGCACTTTGGGAGGCCGAGACGGGTGGATCACGAGGTCAGGAGATCGAGACCATCCTGGCTAGGTGAAACCCCGCTCTCTACTAAAAAAATTACAAAAAAAACTAGCCGGCGGTGGGGCGCGCGCCTTGTAGTCCAGGCTACTCGGGGAGCTAGGCCAGGAGAATGGCGTGAACCGAGCTTGCAGTGAGCTGAGATCCGGCCACTGCACTCCAGCCTGGGCGACAGAGCGAGACTCCGTCTCAAAAAAAAAAAAAAAAAAAAAATTTTTTGTAGCAACGAGGTCTCGCTATGTTGCCTAGGCTGGTCTTGAACTCCCGGGATCAAGTTATCCTCCTGCGTCGGCCTCCCAAAGTGTTGGGATTATAAGTGTGTGCCATCTCACCTGGCCTAAAATTAGTTTTAAAAATAAAAAGTGTAATACATATGTACTATTTTTAAAAAATCAAATACTATAAAAGACTACACTATGGTAGTTAAAGTTTCTGTTTGGGGGATGAAAACATTTGGGAAATAGTGGCAATGGATGTACAACATCATGAATGTAATTAATGCCAATGAATTATATACTTAAAAAGGGATAGGCCAGATGTGATGGCTCACGCCTGTAATTCCATCACTTTGGGAGGCCGAGGTGGCAGAATCACTTGAGTTACTTGAGATTATGGAATCTGAGACCAGCCTGGGAATAGTAACACCCTATCTCTACAAAAAAAATTTTTTTTAATTAGCCAGGTGTGGTAGCGCATGCCTGTAGTCCCAGTTACTTGGGAGGCTGAGGCAGAAGGACTGCCTAAGTCCAGGAGTTCAAGGTTACAGTGAGCTATGATCTGCCTCTGTACTCCAGCCTAGGCAATAGAGTGAGACCCTGTCTCTTAAAAAAAGTGGGTGGGGAAGGGAGGGAAAGGGAAGGGTTAAAATCGCCAATTTTATGTTATATATATTTAAACCATAATCTTTAAAAGTAATAAAATATACCAAAAGTAATTCACTCATATAAAGTGAATTATACACTTTAAATGAGTGAATGATATGGTTTGTGAATTATACCTCAGTAAAAGGATATTCTCCATCCCAACCTAAAACTTCTGTCCCCTCCTCAGAGGCAACTATTTGTTTCTTAGCTTTCTTTCTAGAAAGAGTCTAGGCATAAACAAGTACATCTGAAAATCTATCATACTTTTTCTTTTCATACAAATGAAAGGAAGTGATACACCATTTTACACTCTGCTTTTTTTTACTTAATCTCTCTTAGGTTATTGTGTAGCAGCACATGCAGATTTACTGCCTTCTTTTCCACTTCTACATAGAAGCCCACTGGAGGGACCTATCACACTTTGTTTAATGAGTTAACTGATGAATATCTTGTTTCTAGTCTTTTTTTTTTTTTTGAGACAGGGTCTTGCTGTGTCACCCAGGCTGGACTGCAATGGCATGATCATGGCTCACTGCAGCCTCCAACTCCTGGGGCTCAAGCAATCCTTTCACCTCAGCCCCTTAAGTAACTTGAACCACAGACAGGTGCCACTATGTCTGGTTATTTATATACTTGGTAGAGATGGACTCTCACTGTGTTGCCCAGGCTGGTCTTGAGCTCCTGAGTTCAAGTGATCCTCCTGCCTCGGCTTCCCGAAGTGCTAGGATTATAGGCATGAACCACCATGCCTGATACCCATGGTTTTAGGCAGATGCATGAATATATCATCTATAGGATAAATTCCTAGTTCTGGTGTTGCAGGGTCCAAAGGTTAGCGCGTGTTAAGTATTACTATTGCCAAACTGACTTCCATAGAACCTATACCAGTTTACTCTTACCAAGAATTCATTCACTCACTTTTTTTTTTTTTTTTTTTGAGACGGAGTCTTTGCTCTGTCACCCAGGCTGGAGCGCAGTGGCGTGATCTCGGCTCACTGCAAGCTCCGCCTCCTGGGTTCACGCCATTCTCCTGCCTCAGCCTCCTGAGTAGCTGGGACTACAGGCGCCTGCTACCACGCCCGGCTAATTTTTTGTATTTTTAGTAGAGACGGGGTTTCACCGTGTTAGCCAGGATGGTCTCGATCTCCTGACCTTGTGATCCGCCCGTCTCGGCCTCCCAAAGTGCTGGGATTACAGGCGTGAGCCACCACGCCTGGCCCACTCACTTTTTTCATTCAACCAACACTGAGTACCTATCATGACCCAGGCACAATTCTAGGTCTTGGGGACACAGCAAATGAGCAATAACAACAGGAATAAAAAGATAAAAATCTATTCCCTAATGGAGCTTACAGTCTCACAGAGGGAGAGGGCAAACCAAAAAGTAAAATATGTAACATCTTAGGTGGTAATAAATGCTATGGTTGGCCAGGCGTGGTGGCTCACACCTGTAATCCTAGCACTTTGGGAGGCCAAGGCGGGCAGATCATGAGGTCAGGAGGTCAAGACCATCCTGGCTAACACGGTGAAACCCCATCTCTACTAAAAATACAAAAAAATTAGCCCGCCGTGGTGGTGGGTGCCTGTAGTCCCAGCTACGCGGGAGGCTGAGGCAGGAGAATGGTGTGAACCTGGAGGCGGAGCTTGCAGTGAGCCAAGATCACCCTGGGCGACAGAGTGAGACTCTATCTTAAAAAAAAAAAAAATGCTATGGCTAAAATAAGGCAGAGAAAGGAGTGTTAGCCATGGGTAAGGGCTGGTAATTTAAATAGGATAGTTAGGGTATAAAAATTCTAAGCCTCAGCTTCCTTATCTGTAAAGCAGGACAACAATAGTACCTATGCTGGCCAGGGGCTGTGGCTCATGCCTGTAATCACCGCACTTTAGGAGGCTGAGGTGAGCAGATCATTTGAGGCCAGGAGTTCAAGACCAGCCTGACCAACATGGTGAAACCCCGTCTCTACTAAAATTATAAAAATTAGCCGGGCATGGTGGTACACACCTGTAATACCAGCTACTCGGGAGGCTGAGGCAGGGAAATTGCTTGAGCCCGGAGGCAGAGGTTGCAGTGGGCCAAGACAGCACTACTGCATTCCAGCCTGGGTGACAGAGCAAGATTTCATTTAAAAAAAAAAAAAAAGTGCCTATGCCATAGGATTGTTGAAAGAATTCAATGACATTGTCTGGTATACAGTAAAAATTTCCTAAATGAAAGCTATTCTTATTATAAACAACTTTATAGCTACGGAAAGTGTGGCCCAGGAATGAACAGTTTGCCTACAGTTTCAGGGAAAATTAGTGGTTGCTTAAGAACCAGAACCAGGCCTCCCGACCCTCCATGCAGTACACTTGCAAATATACCAAGGGACCAAAAGCACTAAGACGCCATCCTTCTGGGGCTGCTAATGGGCAATATGGTTTTTAGCTTCAAGAGTGCTCTGAGAATGTGATTTTCAACATGCAAAAGAGGGGAGGGGAGATGTGAGAGTACACAAGGTTCATCAAGGAGAAGCAGGCCAACTTCACTCAGGCCTAAGGCTGAGCCTGCTGGGGTTTGCTCACAAGATAGTCAGATCCAGGATAGTGTTCTCAGCCAAAGGCAACAAGCGTTCTGGCTGCTGCTGGCCCATCTGCTCTGATGAGACTCTCCCAAACCCTGGACTCCCATTGGTTTCATTCCAAGGAATCTCCTGGAGGAAAGATAAGCAGCAGTTAAGTCACAGCTGTAGAAATAAGATTTGGAGGGGCACTTTTATCTGTTTGGCCGAGTTAGATTTTCAAGCAGGCCAAATATGTGGTGGTGGTGGTCTCTCAACTCTCTCTGTGGCGATTTTCCTCACCCCATGGCACCTCCTCTCCCTGTCCACAGCCAGATACTCACTGTTTCCCCAGGCCTTCTGCCTACCCAGAACTCTTTCCTTGTGTGGGTTCTATCCTTCCTTTAGCCCTATCCTTTCTTCGGTGAGCGTTTCATTCCCTCCATTCCTCCTAACCCCTACTTTGGAAATACATATTTTTAAAAAGGCGAGACTTACTGGCTTAACAGAGTCACCATGGAACAGGATTTAGGGAAGTCAGTGTTCTGGGCTTGACCTCTGTTAATGAGTGGGTGGCTATATGACCTTGGGAAAACCAATTACCTTTTCTGGGCTTCAATTTCTTCATCTAAAAAATGTATATTGGCTGTGCACGGTGGCTCACACCTGTAATCCCAGCACTTTGGGAGGCCAAGGCGGGTGGATCACCTGAGGTCGGAGTTCGAGACCAGCCTGGCCAACATGGTGAAACCCCATCTCTACTAAAAATACAAAATTAGCCAGGCATGGTGGCTCACATCTGTAGTCCCAGCTACTCAGGAGGCCGAGGCAAGAGAATCGCTTGAACTTGGGAGGTGGAGGTTGCAGTGAGCCAAGATCACGCCATTGTACTCAAGCCTGGGCAAGACAATGAGACTCGGTCTCCCCCCACCCCAAAAAAAGTATATCATGGCTGGGCTTGGTGGCTCATGGCTGTAATCCCAGATGTTTGGGAAGCCAAGGTGGAAGGATCACTTGAGGCCAAGAGTTCAAGATCACCCTGGTCAAAATAGCAAGACCCTGTCTTTACAAAAAAGAAAAAAAATTAGGCATGGTAGTTGTACATCTGTAGTCCCACCTACTCAAGAGGCTGAGGTGAGAAAATTGCTTGAGCCCAGGAGTTAAAGGTTTCAGTGAGCTATGATTGTGCCCACTGCACTCTAACCTGGGCAACAGAGGGAGACTCTTTCTCAAAAAAAAAATTTTTTTAAGATGTATATCATGGCATTTCAAGTACCACAGTGTAGATTTTTCTGCAAAGGGCAGATCCCAGTGATCCACCGGAAGACAAAAAGGTATACAGAGAAGTAGGAGGGCCAAAGGGAGAAACACTCAGAGTGGAGGTGCCAAGGCCACTAAAATGCAATTAAGAGGGGTGTAATACAAACCAGTGTTTGTTGAATGGCATCCAGTATCCAGTCCTGGGGCAGCCATAAGGAATTCACACCTGGGCGAGAGATTTAGGTTTAAAATCAATTCTTATATTGGGTAGACCTCAATGCAGGGGGAATTCCAGACGAGCTTTGGACCATGGCATCTCTACTCTTAAGAAGGGAAACACAAGAAAGAAAAGGCACTTTGTCCCAGATCACTAGCCCCTCTGTTACTTGAACACTATGGTGTAGATCTGGCCATGAGGTTTCTCTGCAAGGCTAGAAAGAGGAAGATTGAGAAACATTTAATCAGGTTGATAAAAAGGGTTCTTGAACTCAAATTTGAGGGAGGACCTAAGAAGATTTCAAAAGATGTTAGAATTATAAGCAAATTATGTGGATGTTTCCACTTTTGTTTAAACTGTGGACAATTACATTAGGAGATGGAGCTTCTACTGGGGCAATCTGAGCAAACTTAAAAAAATATTAGTGATTATCACTATCTTTCAAGGTGTGAAAGATTATACTATCTTTCAAGGTGGCATCCATAACCTTATTTTTTATTTTATTTTATTTTATTTTATTTTTGAGATGGAGTTTCATTCTTGTTGCCCAGGCTGGAGTACAATGGTGCAATCTCGGCTCACCGCAACATCTGCCTCCCGGGTTCAAGTGATTCTCCTGCCTGAATCTCCTGAGTAGCTGGGATTACAGGCATGCGCCACCATGCCCAGCAAATTTTATATTCTTAGTAGAGATGGGGTTTCCATCATGTTGGCCAGGCTGGTCTCAAACTCCCAACCTCACGTGATCTGCCCGCCTCGGCCTCCCAAATTGCTGGGATTACAGGCGTGAGCCACCGTGCCCGGCCATCATCCAAAATCTTAATTTCATCCACAGAGAAAGGTAGAGAGCACCAAGGGGAATTGAGACATGAGATTCTGAACTCTGAAATAACCTATGATAGTCACTACATCATTGTTTCTGCCTGGAAAAACAATTCAGACCCGAAACTTTTCTTTTTTGATGCCCTGCAGTGGGGTTGACAATAAACTCTTACAGGCTTGAGCCTTGTGGCATCATCAGTATAGCAGAAACAGTTGTAGACATTTTGGGTGAAAAATCGACCAAGCCTGCTTAGATCCCTCTGCCTGCTAGGACAAAAATATGGTCAGACTTCCAGATTCAGCGGTGCATCCTAGCAGAGAAACACTGAAGGAAAGATGGCACTGTTTTAACAGAGTCTTCAGTGACTTTCCACTGAGCTGTGGGAAAATCTGGCAGTTGACTGTAGCTGAGTCATAACCCAGAGGTCCTGACCACTCAGATCTTTGAAGATTCCTTTCATTCCTTTCCCAAATGGGGAACCTGGCAGACTCCAATTGGTTAATTCCATTTACCTCCTGTTCCTTGCAACTACATGTAGGTGTAGAGTAGTGTGCTCTCAGCGGTAGCAAAAGGGTATCAGAATAACAGCATATACACTTTGTAATTATAATAGCTTATATTTATCTTCCACTTACTGTGTGTCAGGCACTTCCTATAGATTTATTTTTTCATTGAATCTTTACAACTGCCCAGCAGGATATTTACTATTATTATCCCTAGTCTACAGATGAAGAAACTGAGGCTCAGAGAGGCTAATAATTTGCCCACAGTCACATAGCTTGGGTGTGAGGTGCTGAGGTTTAACCTAAACATTCTAACTCCAGAGTTTGTATTCTAATCACTATGTTGTACTGTGGCCAAACACCAGCATGGATATCCCAAGCTCAAAGGCACTTCAGATACCACAAATCAATCAATTTTCCAGCTGAGAAAACAGGCCTAGTGAGATTATAGGAATCACCTAGTGACAAAGTCAGGGTTCCAGGCAGGTCTCTTCACTCCAGAGTTCTACACTCTCTCCACTGCATCAGAATACTTCAGGTTCGTAGCCAAGCATGTGGTACACACTTGTAGTCTCTGCTATGATCGCACCACCGCACTCCCGCCTGGGAGACAGAGTGAAATCCCATCTCTAAAAAAATAAAATAAAATAGAAAAAGAATGCTTTGGGTGCTCTCCATCATCTTGAGAATCTGGAGCTTTTCTATATCTTATCCCTTATTCTTTAGGGAATGGAACTTAATTTTATATAAACATAAAATATTTTCACATAGTTTTTCTACAATATACTGATTTCCCAATCCTTCTCCCCTCAACTATTTTACATAGACTTTTTTTGAAATGTCATCTTACTGTGTCATCCAGGCTGAAGTGCATGGCGCAATCTCAGCTCACTGCAACTTCCACCTCCAGGGCTCAGGTGATCCTCTGCTACAGCCTTCTGAGTAGCTGGGGCTATAGGCACACACCACCACGCCCAGCTAATTTTGTGTTTTTTTGTAGAGATGGAGTTTAACCATGTGGCCCAGGGTGGTCTCGAACTCCTAGGCTCAAGTAATCCACCTGCCTTGGCCTCCCAAAGTGCTGGGATTACAAGCATGAGCTACTGTGTCCAGCCTATGTAGACTTTTAAAGGGCATTTTAAGTTCACAGCAAAAGTGAGTGGAACATATAGAGCTATCCCACAGACCCCCTGCCTCCACACACAGCCTCCCCTGCTATGGACATCCAGCACCAGAGTGGTGCTGCATAACAAACAATTTGTTACAACTAGTGAACCAACATTGACACATCATTATCACCCAACGTCCATATGTTTGGATTAGGGTTCACATTTGGTGTTGTATATTCTATGGGTTTTAGCAAATGTATAATGACATGTATCTATCATTATGGTATCATATGGTACTGTTTCACTGCCCTAAAAATCCCATGTGCTCTATTTATTCATCCCTTCCTCCCAAAGCCCCTGACACCCAGTGATCATTTTACTATCTCCATAGTTTTGCCTTTTCCAGAATTACATATAGTTGGGATCATATAGTATATAGCCTTTTCAAAATATTTCATTTAATAATAAGCATTTAAGGTTCTTCTATGTCTTTTCATGGATTCATAGCTTGTTTCTTTTTAGCACTGAATAATATTCCATTATATGGATGTACCATATAGTTTATTCACTGATTTATCTACAGAAGGACATATTGGTTGCTTCCAAGTTTTAGCAACTGTGAATAATGCTGCCATAAACACTCATGTGTAGGTTTCTGTGTAGACATAAGTTTTCAACTCCTTTGACTAAATACAAAAGGACAATTGCTAGACCATATGGCAAGAGTAGGTTTAATTTTATACAAAACTGTCAAACTTTCTCCCAAAGTAGCTGTACTGTTTTGACTCCCACCAGCAATGAATGGGAGTTCCTGTTGCTCCACATCCTGATCACCATTTGGTGTTGTCAATGTTTTAGATTTTAGCCATTCTAATAGGTGTACAGTAGTATCTCATTGTTGTTTTAATTTGGAATTCCCTAATGATGCATGATCTTAAGCATTTTTTCCTACGCTTATTTGCCATCTTCTTTGGTGAGGTGTCTGTTCAAATTTTTTGCCCATTTTTTTTTTCTTGTAGAGATGGGGTCTCACTATGTTGCCCAGGCTGGTCTCAAACTCCCAGCTTGAAGTGATCTTCCCACCTCAGCTCCCCAGATGCTGAGATTACAGGTGTAAGCACAAGCCTGGTCACCTCCCCCCTTTTTTTTTTTTTAGACAAAGTCTCGCTCTGTTGCCCAGGCTGGAGTGCAGTGGCGCATCTCGGCTCACTGCAACCTCCACCTCTAGGGTCCAAGCAATTCTCCTGCCTCAGCCTCCCAAGTAGCTGGGATTACAGGTGTGTGCCACCACACCCAGCTAATATTTTTGCATTTTTTGTATAGATGGGGTTTCACTATGTTGGCCCACTGGTCTCAAACTCCTGGACTCAAGCAATCCACCTGCCTCAGCCTCCCAAAGTGCTGGGACACCATACCCAGCCTTCGGTTATGACTTTTTCCTCTTTTTTCTTTTTTTTTTTTTTTTTTTTTGTTGAAACAGAGTCTCACTCTGTCACCCAGGCTGGAGTGCAGTGGTGCAATCTCGGCTCACTGCAACTCCGCCTCCCGGGTTCAAGCGATTCTCCTGCCCCAGCCTCCTGAGTAGCTGGGATTACAGACAAGCATCACCATGCCCAGCTAATTTTTTGTATCTTTAGTAGAGACAGGGTTTCACCATGTTGACCAGGCTGGTCTCAAACTCCTGACCTTGTGATCCACTTGCCTCGGCCTCCCAAAGTGCTGGGATTATAGATGTGAGCCACTGCGCCTGGCCCCAGTTATGATTTCTAGTAGTCAATTATCGAGTGTTTCCTGATCTCTGCATAATGCCCTCCTCTACCCCTCCCTTTTAGGAAATGACCAGCTAAGGCTCCAGTATGCTCCCTTAGTTCTCATCTCTAGGGAAGCTTTCCATCTCTAGGTCTTACTGTGTGTAGTTTATTTCTTATATCCTGCCGCCTGTCATGGGGACAGTGTCCCTATTCCTCCCATGCAGTTTGTCCACAGTGACCTTGGCCCCACTAACCTTTCCACCCTCTTCTGTATCCAGACCAACAAATTATCCCCTTTCTTTAGTGAAGGATGAGAGATGAATAAGAGCCTGGAAACAGCCACATGTAGTGGAAAGAGTTTAGTCTTAGTAGTCAAACAATTCTTGACTCCTCTGGGCAAGTTAGTTAACCATGCTGTCTCATGCCCAGTGGACAGGACACTCCTGCTTATAAGGTGATAATGAAGATTAAACATAAAACATGTGAAGGGGTCAGCCCATATCCTAGAACACAACAGATACTGCTTTCTCTCTCTCTTCTGGCCTTTTTCTCACTTCTCACAAAAAATGTTCAAGAAAGCTTCATTTTTAAAAAGCCCAGGCCAGGCACAGCAGCTCATGTTTATAACCCTAGCACTTTGGGAGGCCAAGGCAGGAGGATTGCTTGAGCTCAGGAGTTTGAGGTCAGCCTGGGCAAGATCTTGAGACCTTGTCTTTACAAAAAATTTAAAAATTAGCCAGGACTCGGTGACATGCACCTGTGGCTCCAACTACTCAGATGGTTGAGGCGAGAGGATCACTTGAACCCAGGAGGTCGAGGCTGCAGTGAGTTGTAGTTGCACCACTACACTCCAGCCTGGGTGACACTGCAAGACCCTGTCAAAAAAAAAGGCCCTATTTCATCTTCAAAGATCCTTTCTTGCCCCCTATTCAATTCATTCTTATCACTATTTACTGAGCCAGGGACCACCTTTTCAATACTCTCACAAATGCTGAATGCAACACATAATTACAAATTGGTCTCACTGCAGCATTAATACTGCTGGACACTCTGACACTGGGGGCCTGCTGATTCCTGCATCTCCTCTAACTTCTCTGTACATTTCTGTCTCAGGTACTTTATACTTCTCATCTTTCCACATCCTGGTCTCTTCTATTCCCATGGCTTCAACAACCACTATTTGCTAAAATTTCCAGTTTTCTCTCTCTCTAGTCCAAATTCCAATCCTTAGGCCCCAGACTTGAATTTCTAGCTATTCACAGGGATCTCTTTCTGGAGGTCCCAGGAGCATCTTAATGTCCAAACTGGCTTTTTCTTCTCATGGCTTTTATTTCCTAAATGGCTTATATTATTAAGCCAATGCTGAGGCAAGAGGCCAGAATCATCCTGAATGTCCTTGTCTTCTACATTTCATATTCTATGTTGGAGTCATCACAATCCCTTTGATTTTCAATTCCAGAGTGGCTCTTGAATCCATCCCCACGCCATTTCTAGGGCTTTAGTTCAGTCCTTTATCATGTCTCACCTCAGATACTGCTGCAGACTGGGAGCCCTTATTGCCAGGCACTCACCCTGCTCATACTCTGCTTAGATCCCAGATTTATGTAATTAATAGATCTGAGAATATTAATCATCTGCTACAAAGTCTTCCATAGCACTAAGTGAAATACTAAATATTAGTATCTCTAGCTCTCATTAGAATGGAAGTACCTCAACACTATTAAAGACTTTGTCTTATTAATTATTATATTCCATGGCATATTATTGTACATTAAATATTCATTAAGAAATGTTTATTAAATGAATGAATAAAATCCCAGAACTATGCCATGTATAGCAGGGCATATGAAAGAAATATAGGATGGTCCCTGTCCTCTAGGAGCTAACACTCTTATTGGAGAGACAAGATAAAAACAAGAAACTGGGCCAGGCACAGTGGCTCATGCCTGTAATCCCAGCACTTTGGGAGGCCGAGGCAGGCAGATCACTTAAGTCCAGGAGCTCGAGAGTAGCCCAGGCAACATAGCGAAACCTATCTCTACTAGAAATGCAAAAACTAGCCAGGCGTGGTGGCACATGCCTGTAGTCCCAGCTACTTGGGAGGCTAAGGAGGGAAAATGGCTTGAGCCCGGGAGGCAGAGGTTTCAGGGAGCCGAGACAGCATAACCGCACTCCTGCTCAGACATCAGAATGACACCCTACCACCAAAAAAAAAAAAAAAAAAAAAAAAAAAAAAGTAAGGAAAAAGGAGTTTGCCTAAAATAAGAAAGTAGTAACTTTTTTTTTTTTTTTTAGATGGAGTCTTGCTCTATCGACCAGCCTGGAGTGCAGTGGTGTGATGTTGGCTCACTGTAAGCTCTGCCTCCTAGGTTCACACCATTCTCCTGCCTCAGCCTCCTGAGTAGCTGGGACTACAGGCACCCGCCAGCACGCCCGGCTAATTTTTTGTATTTTTAGTAGAGATAGGGTTTCACCGTGTTAGCCAGGATGGTCTCGATCTCCTGATCTCATGATCCACCCACCTTGGCCTCCCAAATTGCTGGGATTACAGGCATGAGCCACTGCGCCCGGCCAGAAAGCAGTAACTTTTTTTGAGAGCTATAATAACACAAAAGTGGCCAGGTGCGGCGGCTCATGCTTGTAATCCCAGCATTTTGGGAGGCCTAGGCAGGCGATCACTTAAGGTCAGGAATTCAAGACCAGCCTGGCCAACATGGTGAAACCCCGTTTCTACTAAAAATACAAAAAATTAGCTGGGCCTGGTGGCACGTGCCTGTAATCCCAGCTACTCAGGAGGCTGAGGTAGAAGAATTGTTTGAACCTGGAGGGCAGAGGGTGCAGTGAGCTGAGATCGTGCGATTGCACTCCAGCCTGGGCAACAGAGCAAGACTCTGTCTCAAAAAAAAAAAAAAAAAAAAATGAACATATGGAAAAGCTATAATAGAAATACTACCTTTTGATACACATATAGACATACTCTTTTAATGAAACAATCCTTTGAGAAAGATACTATCCCCATTTCACAGAAGAAGAAATTTTGGCAGAGCCATTAAATAACTTGTTTGAAGTGACACAGCTACATGCAAGACCCCGTACTAAGCACTACTGAGACAGATTAATAAAATAGTTCATGCTTTCAAATATCTCAAAATCTAATAGAAAATTCTGAAACATAAATGATTAATGATTCTCTTATAAACAATTACCTATACATCAATGTTGGGTATTGTAATAAATATACACATAAGATGGGAGTGTTAATATTAATCTTAAACTATTACGCTGAAAAGGCTCTACTAAAAGACAAACACACTGAAATAGGAGAAATAGCTTCCTAGCTAATACAGCTTGCTTGCTAATACAATGATGCAGGCAAGATCCAGGTAGGAGGTGATGATGGTGGATGCAGTAAGACTGGAGAAGGGGCAGGATGCAAGACATTTCACAAACAGGAATGACAGTAACAAGTTTAATGTAAGAATAAAGAATCGGCCTTAAGTTTGTAAGTCTTGGAAACTCAAGGATATTAGCAAAGACAAAGATACATTTATTTTAACGTATGGTATACTGAGCTGAAGACTGCTTTGCTCTGAGAGAATATAATATAGATTCAGAAATGAGACTTTAGAAATTGTTGGCAACCAGGCTTGAGTTGTATCTAAAGAAAGAATTTAAAAATATTTCAATTAGGCTCTGTGTCAGTGGGATGGCCTCTACATGTTTTCTTTGGTTTTATTTTCTCCTCACTCTCCACTGGTATCTATTATCAATTCTGTTTGCATCACCTCTTCCTGGAAATGAAGTGTGCTTATAAAGTAACAAAGCTGAAGTGTAAGCATACAAGAATTTATCTATCCAAAACTGATTCCAAAAATGTTGTTTTTGCTTTAACACTTTTCTGGAACTTCTGTGTTGGAGTTGCTTTCAGAGTCCATCTACAATCCCAACAAAGAAGCCAATTATTTCACAGTCACACTTTGTGAACATCTCTAACCTGATCATCCATTAACTTAGCTCAGAGTTAATTTCTGTTTTTTAAAAAGTAAAATCTACCCTCAAAAAAAAAAAAAACCAAAAACAGTTTCTTGATTAACCAACACTAAGGTTATTCCAGGGGTTGTGCTCCTTAGGCAACTTCATGAGAGGCTTTCCTGTAGGGGAGACATGGAGAATTAACATGTGTGAGCCCCTACTGAGAGCTGGGCATTGGACTGCTAATTATTTCCCAGACCTGCTTTTCTTGTAATCCTTCAAGCAACCATTCAAGCAAGTACTGTCATTTCAT